AAGGCTAACTCAGATCAAAAAACTTTATTCTACAAAAGAACATCGGAGGAGTAATTGCAATAAAATGTAAACAAGAAATTGTAAACAAGAGCATCCCTCTCCCTTTACTTAACTAGGAAATAGTCCATACAAACTACATAGGTATCAAAGGTTTTATATATGTACACAGCCAACATAATATCAAAATATATTTTATTCTGGACCTCTTTCAGATCTGATTCAAATTACAGTTGTCAAAGCAATACAATGCAAAGGGAAACTGCAACAACAACAACAAAAAATGTGCCTAGAAAGGATAAAAGGGTCATTGGGGACAAATCATTGTGATGTGGAACCAAAATACATCGCAAGTGTAATTAACATGGTCCAGGACAGCATAGAGTATCTGTATCAGTCTTCCTTACACAACAGTCATGAAAACTGAACAACAAAGTTCTTCAACATGTACAAAAGACTGTCATGGGCTGGTTTACACTTTTACAACAGTTTTAAAGTTAACTGGATAACTAAAGAAATGATGCAGACATTTTAATCCAGTGCTATAAGTAGGCTCACAGAATTAGACCCAAAGGATTTGTAGAAATCAAAAATTAGAACATTATAGCTACAATGTCAAAGTCAGGAAAGAAGAAAATTACTTCTGTATTTAGGGATTACAGAGCTACGAAATGCAGTCTGCGTATTTTTGTTTTTGATGAGATGGATAAGTACATTAGACTAGATACAACATGCAGAATGTTTTCTTGAACTTATCCATAAACTCCAAAGAAAACATCATGAAACAGATTACGAGAAAATTAAAAAAAAATATATATGCCCGAGTTATTCACCCTGCTTCAACACTGTCAACATAAAGGCAGAAATAAAGAATGCTATTAATACTTCAGAACTACTGATATAAGACATCAAATTTCTAAATCAGTGTATTAAAAAAGTGAACACTTCCTCTTTTTTTGCTCTCTCTTCTACACTTAACTAGATTCATGTTTTTTTTTTTTTTTAATTGATATTGAATGTGACACGTCAGAGCTATTACCGGAAGGAGTAATTCATAACTTCCCTACTCCCCTTCCATCCCTGCTGATTCAGAAGAAAAAAACAAACAAAAAAACCAACCAGGGTCTCTTGTAGATTTGCTGCTATTCCCCAAAATGTTGGCATTTGCTGCCATGCCACAATGTTGGTCCACTGAAACAGGATTTCTATGGAAATTGTCAACAGTAATTCACCAAATGCAAGTACCGTTTTTAGCATGCGAGAAAAAAATGCAGGTTCTACAGAAATGTACAATGTGCTTAAGAAAATGAAAACTGTTTTGAAAAGAGTAAATAGCACTGCATTTGAGATTTATTTTTTCTGCTTATCTAGTAAAACTTAACATCTTTGCTGACATAGAATGGTCATTTCTGATTCCTTTAAACAGCAAAAATGCATTCCTCTTCAGGCCTCTATTCAGTAATAGTTTACATTACTCTTAACAAAATCATTCTACATAAACAGATAGCTCCTTAAAAATAGTACTCTCTCATTAAATCTAATTTGACAGAAGTAAGTTTAAGGAAAAAAGGAGTGCTTTATAAGTTAAGTGAAAAAGTACAAATCTTTGGCCTTTCTCTTGACATTTCTATATGTCAAAAAGCAAAAAACCTTCATGTAATTCAATCTAATGATTACTTTTTGCACCATAATTTGTTTTTTACACCACAAAAGGAGGCACTTTCAGTATCTGTAAAAGGTGTTTAATCCTAAAACATACTTACCTAGAGAATAATTAATTAAAACAGAATTCAGTACACCCTAAGACCTATTAGGAAATTAAAAGTTATCACTTCTAAAAGTCACATCAAAGTTAATGATGGTACCCGATCAATGACAGTAAACTGAGAATGGAACAAAGATAAGAATTTACGGGATATCCTACATGAAGAAGATAAAAAGATATTCCTTTATGATGTTCAAGAATACAGCTGCTCTTTCTTTATTCTATGTTAATCAATGAGTATTCTATTCATTTTAAGTTTTCCTTTCTATTTTTTCCTTATAAGTGTCTTACAGTAGCCTATACAACAATGACATATAATGAACACCACAGAAAATCTACTGGAATCAATAGATCTTCAGATAAGTTCTTAGATTGGGCAAAAAGGAAAAAAAAAAAAAAGGGAAGGAAAAAATAAGCAAGAACCCCAAATATAGAACTTTACAGGCTGTGAAACTTGGTCTCTTATAATCATGTTACTGCTCAAATTAGAGGCAATCTTACTTTTGTCTACTGGAGCAGCATCGTGGCACATCAGCAGGCAATGATGATGTTGAGAACAGCAGCAAAAAAGAAATAACTGTATGCTCACAAAGAACCCAAGCCTACAAAATGGATACCTTTCTGATAGTTTATACTTAAAAGACCCACGACTTCAGGATAATAAAGCTCTGTATTTATAATCTTTTATATGTTCTACTGTGGCTATTATGCTTAAGTAAGATACCTAAAGATGAAACAAACAAACAAACAAACAGAGACGATGACAACACCATAAACATGTAGCTGTCGATTTTGGCAGCTATACTGCAGAACTTCGTGACTATCTTTAATCAGCTGGGGAAAAAAGGTCAATAACTGTATGCAAATGAATAAATTGTCCATATCAAAATACAAAAAGTACTATCAATAACCACCTCTGACTTTCAGATTTAAATTCAGTGCAATTGACAAATGCATCGCTAAAGGAAAATGCAGCTTAAACATACTCAAAACATTTGTGTCTATTCCTGGGAGCACATTTAAAAATTATTGCACAGATTTTTAAATTTTTATTTATTTTTTTTTAAAACAACAACAGAGGTCAACCACAGATGTGGGCCTCCAGCAATAAAAGCAGGATTTCAAGTGCCAGATACTCAGCATATTAGGTTTCCTACGTAAGTCACAGGGTAATAATTCTAAATATCTATAATGTGATCCAAAAACCCTAAAAACAGCTGGCACAAAACCATCATGAATGACTGCCTCTCTGGATGTAAATTTTAAAAAATATTATTACAGTATCTTAGTCCCCACTAACAACAACTGGGGAACATATAACAATGTATTGTGAAATTAAGTATATTTATTCTCTTTACCAATAGCAAATGCTATCCTACCTTAGTAAAACCAAGACTTGCTTCAATCAATGCTGTTTTGTAAAAATAGCAAAACAACAAATGCTGAAAATCAAAGCTGCATTACTTGGGTTAAATCAGTTTCTACTTAGAACACAGGTTAAAATTTTAGCAGTAAAAGCTTCAAATAATTAGTGACAGAAATAGTGTTATAAATTTGCTAAGCTTGATAATAAATGATATTCCTTAATTAAAAGTTTTGTGATAGTAAATTTGACAACTATTCTCTTCAAAACTGACACTTCTGAATTATTACATTAATCATGACAAACCCTGTTAATCACACATATAAACATAGCCCCATGCTATCATTTGTTAATTCTGTATATTTTAGCTTTTAGTTGCATGAGCACAAGAGGAGGTTTGATCTGATACCTATACCTTTAAGAAAATACATGATATTATAAACAGAGTAAAAGACATGATATAGTAGTGATTACTAAAAAAACAAAACATAGCAGCTTAAATCTAACTGTATTTGAGAAAATGTAGTCACAAGTACCACAAACGCAGAATCAGAGCAGCTGGGAGGTTAGTGCAATTATACCTTTTTTAAAATTTTGAATCACTGCTATTTAAGAACACCTTGAAGCAAGTCTTTCGTTTTAAAGATTGTTTTTAAACTAAGGTAGCAAACATTTTGCCATGTAATGGCAGTGTTATATGCCGTTATCTTGCTTTGTATAAAGAAAAATAACATGAGAGATTTTTAATACTGGAGTTTGGTTACATTACATATTTAAGCTTCTACACAGAATGATGGACACTTTGGAGAAGCTACTCCTTATCCAGAAACATTTTAATCTCTTTAAAAACAAAGTAAAAGAAACAAACAACAAAAAAACCCAAACCTACTTTGCTCCTTTTCACAATAGTGCACATTTTTAACCATAATTTAGTTATGGCTACAAAACATCAGAAGATATTTTTATGCATCTTCTCTATGGTATTAAAAAAAATTTTGTGCCCTTCTAGTCTTTAATTGGCAGAAATATGTCCCAAAAAAGAAACTATTGCATTTAAGCCACATCACCAAAAAAACAAAACAAAACAGAAAAACCCCACAACAGAAAAACAAAGCAAAAGCAAAAACAAAAAACAGAGCATAATACCCTTTTACTGATGTGTCTTACAGATTGACATGACCAAAGTCATATAGTTCCATTTAATTTCCAATTTCCCCTTCTACAACATGCACCAATTGAATATATGCTCTGGGAGCCATAAATGTACCAAACATCTATCTCTTCAAAAGAATGCATTAAAATATTTTTAAGAATTTTTTTGTTTAAAAGGTGAAAAAAAATATAAACAAGAAACTGATTCACTCCCTTACTTCATGCATCCATAAACTAAACCAAAAAAAGTTTAAAAGCAAGAACAAACTACTGCTGCAAGTTTTGTAAGTCCGTTTTCTCTGTACATACAAACTGCTAAACTACTGAAGGGAAAAAAGAATATAATCCATGGTGTCTGCTGATTCAAAGGGGATAAACAAGGCTGTCATTAGTATCCAAAAACTGGTACATGTATGGGCTGCTTTTATAACGCATATTTTTTCTCTCTTCTGTTTTTCATATCCAAAACTTCTAAATGCTATTTTAGGGGCACAGCAGATTAGATTCCAGCACTTGGTGAACAGAATTCACAAGCTGTGACAAAATTCTGTCATCTTCAGGGTGCAATTTTGTTTATATACACTGTATGTATATATTTCTCTTAGATTTGGCTGTAGTGGACTGGCCATGGTTCAAGAGGGACTATAGCAGTACTTGGGTCGGGGACAGTCATTTTGGCTATATACACATTCATAGTCGGTCCATGGCTTCCAACTAGTAGCGCTATTTCCGAAGGTCTAATACACAAACCTGTAAGAAATTAAAATAATCAACCAGTGTGTAAAGAATTTCATTGTACGTTTTAAACTTTTTTATAGTACAGTTTGGAATCTATTCCTTAGTTCCAAGTTCATGAAACTGATAAAAGTAATCACAGCAATGGACATAAACAATCAGATAACCTACATGAAAGAAGACAGAGGAAACAAGCATGGGCTCTCACTACAGAAGAACCATGGCTACAATTTCTAAGATTTGCTTTCTGCTAATTAAAAAGCAGAAATAAATACATTCAAAATAGACCATTTTCTATTATATGTCTTCAATTTTAATGAAAGATACTACAGATTATATTAAGGTATCACTTCAGTAAACAGCTAATAGCTATACTCCTTCCATCTTCCCTTCGCTTTCAGAACTCTGGAAGCCACAACGAGTATTTCTGTAAAGACATTGCCAGCCTCACCCTGAAAGCCTCTTGGTATCACACATTCCTCAATGTAGACCCTGAGTGCCTCTATTGCCCCCTTCTAGCACTCTTCTACAAGAGAAGGTTAACAATAGGCGTTAAAAGTTCAAATCTCTCTCATAGAGATACCATGCTATACTTAATTTCACTGATGAAGTTTTACAGTCCATTTCTTGATCTTGAAGGCACTCTTTGGCAAAAATACCCTAAATTATATTTACATTATTTGAATGAAACAAATATGAAAAGTATAGAGCCTTCAGTAAAAAAAGATCAATACCCGTATCATAAAATTTATCTTATAAAGAACACTTTGGGAGTCACTACCACAACAAGCCCATTTATTCACTATGCTCTCTTTCTCACGCATTTACCCCTCCGGAAAACCTCATTATACTTACTGAACCATCTGATGCACTGGCTCCAACCTTGTCTCCTGCTGCATTCCAACAAACTTCAAAAATTCCACCTGTTCCCCTATAGCTGTGAACTAGAGCACCTGTCTAAAATAATGAGAAGCAGAAACTTAAAAATGATAAATTATTATGTATGTTCAAATGTTGAGGTCAAAATATCATATGGCTTTATTTCCAGCAATCCAATGCAAGATTTAGCTTCAACTTGAAACACAAGTTCTGAAATACCAGAAATGGAATATGATGATCCTTTCACAAAATGGTAGCACTAACCTGCTCTCAACAGATCATTCACACACACACACACACACACACACACAAATTTCTCCAGTACTGATAACCATTTTTAGCTAAGGTACCCTTTTGGCCTCTTTGACACCAGAAGCACCCCAAAGCTAGAAGAATTGTAAAAAAGCTAAAAAAGCATATGTACATTATTACTAAAAGATAATTTAAAAGAAGCATATAAGCAGGAACACTACCAATTTCATCATCAATTTAGCCAATTTATAAATACAACTCAATTACTGTATTCCTTTGGTAATGGTAATCAAAATCATTCAGTTGCCATTCAATAATTTAAACTCAGTACAAAAATATATTCTCTTAGGAAACAAGTCATTAAACAGGTCAAAGGTAAGAGGTTCTCCTATGAGAAACTGAAAAACATGCTTCCGGTGTTCTGTTCTGACAAACAAGAAAAGTATGTGTCAGCTTCATGGTGACCTAAAAAATTCAAACTAGAAGTATCAGAACTATCTAAAAATGACATAGCAGCAAGACACATATCTTGTAAACACCATCTGACAGAGCCAGCCCTAAGTTAATCACTAAGCTGGGAGACCATTTTTCCTTGTTTTCTTGTTCAGTCTGGAAATACTGCAGAAACCACAGATGCATGGATACAGTTGATCACATTGGGAAGACTCTACTGTTTTTTCTCTCTCACCTAAAATTTCTCACAATCTAAGAGATTAATGAAAAAGTATGAGTATAGCAAACATTAAATATCTACAATTAATTAGTAGGGAAAGGAGTGGTGTCAACAAAATCTAAAATAAGCTCACGTACAGAGTAAAATCTGTAGAGTCAACTGTGGGGTTTAAAAAAGAACCAACACTTTCTTTCAATAGCACTTACCAATTTCTAAGCTTAACTTACGCTATAATTGAACCAAAACAGCAAGGTCAATAAGCAAGAGCTATCTACATTAAAACTGCCATAGGATTCTTAGCATTTACTCAAATCTATGATCAGATCAGACTACAAGAATTCATCTGTCAAATGATTAGGTAACATATTAACCAAGTAATGGGAACAAAAAAAAACAAAACCACACACACACACATATATATCACATATGTATATGAACAAAAAATAATGACTTTTTCCTGCAATGAAATCTCACAAGATGCATTTTATTATTTTCAAACTTAAAAGAAAAAAAAAGGCATTTTGATACACAACAGTGAAACAACAAAACAGTATGGATAGCTGTTCAAATGTCTTTAAAAGTCTAACAGCATCTTCCCTTAGAATTCTACAGTTCTCTACCCAAATTTTATTTTAAATTAATGTACTCAAAATAGAACAAATGAGTGACAGAAAATAATACAATAGGCAGATTATCTATAAAGTCTCTGCTATTCAATCAAAACTAAAGACTGGGACTTTTCTGGTAGTTCAATGGTTAGGACTTGGTACTTCCACTTCACAGGGCAATGGTTTGATCCCTGGTCAGGGAACTAAGATCCCGGCAAGCAGGGAAATAATTAAGATTAGAGAGCTCAGCAGGGTTGATGAAGTGAACATCAACGTGCAAAAATCTGTAATGTTCCAAACATGAGTAACCATCAGTAAGTAAAAGGAATACATGTTTTAAAAAATGCTATACATAGTAACAATAAAATCCATAAGGCACCTCAGAATAACTTTTTAATAAAAGAAGATCTTTATGAAGAAATTATAAAGCTCTACTAAAGGGAAAAAAAGAGGCTTAATAGGGAGACTTACAAAGTAACACTCATTAAAATTATACCGATAATTCAGGGACAGGTAAGAGTCACATAACGCTATTGAAGAAAACAGTATATGGCATGTAAATCTAAAACACTGAAAAGATGAAAAAGAATGAAAGCACCAAACTGTTTTCTCCATTTTTAAGAAAAGATCTCTGTATCACTGTCCCTAGAAATGTAGTATTATAGTTTTTAAGTTTCTCTCTGACAAATTTTGTATTGAACCATAAAATCCTGTCCTTTAGTACATTTTTTTACCTGCTCATATATACCTTCTTCAAAGATAATTCTTTTAGAAAATAAATTACATCATTTATCTAAATAAATGCATCTTAAATTCTTATACTTTATGAGAATTGCAAATATGCAATTTTGCATATTGCAAATATGCAAAATTGTTGAAAAAAATAAAACAAAGAATTTAAATTTATTTCTAAATTTTGGTCTGTATTATGAAAATCTCACTTCAGATGGTTTTGATCTTTACTAAGCTATAAAAAATGCCACCAAAAAATACTCATTTAAAAACTAAGAACTGAATCAATAACACAAAAGGAATGACGATCAAAATTGGGAAAAAAAAATTTGTTTAGACAAGCGCTTCTTACTCATATAAAGATATGTGACTCTTCAAATAACCCAGACATACCTGTGTGTTCCAGATGTGCACACACTTGTCAAAAGAACCACTTGCCAGATACCTGCCATCAGGACTGAAAGCTACACTGTACACAGGCTCTTGGTGTTTTGTCAAAGTATGGATGCAAATTCCTCGGTCTACATCCCATAATCTAACAGTAGAATCAAAGGATGCACTGACAAAGGAGGGGGAAAAAAAAGATTTTATAAGTAATGAAATTCCCAGTCCCACCCCCAAACTACAATCACCGTCTTTCCTTACAGCTAGCCACAAATTCCTTATGAGAAGTAGACCGTGATGTTAGGAAGAAAGTGTTCTGGAAACAAAGCTAAAAGGAGAAGAGGCAGCTTTCATTAAGGGCATCTCCAAGTCTGTATATTGGAAAACATAAATGAGCTAATTATATTTCTCTGTTCTTTAAATAACTCCTTTATATTGATTCACAAAACACTACATTGAATATATACTTATTATTTATTTCGATGCTGAAAAAACTTTATTGCATTATGCCTCGGTTACTTGGGTTTTAATCAATATTTGATATTATCAGTAAACATTTGCTATCTCCAGAAACAAAATCCATTATGAGCTGAAATAATAAAACTATATGTCTAAATGTTCCCATTTAAAAAATACTCCTTGCAGGATACATTCCCATTTTACTGAATTTTCCTAATTTTCTGCCATAATGTAAGAAATCTTTTTTGTAAAAGACTCATAAAGGAAAAGCAAAGCAGAAATGTTACCTTGCTAACATAAGGTTGGCATTTGGATTGCTTGTCCCTGGCCCTGTTGGACTCCATTTGATAGTATAAATTTCTTTATTATGTGCTTGCAAATCATGGACACAGTTGTCTTGTTTCATACTCCATATCTAAACAAAAAAGAAAAGTGTGTGTAAATTATCTTTCCACAAAAAGGATACGTTCATAATATGATCTTGCCAGTCCAAAACAGGTGGCATAACCATAACAATAATTATAGAGATCAAGAGAATATATGCAAAGAAATTAAAATGTAGTAGAATATATTTGTTTTTTAAAAATGACAAATTAGCTTCAAGACCATTCTAAATAATCAGTATTGTGAGGCTTCAGGATTCAATAAATTGTAGTTCTAAGATTAGTTCTGAAAGCTTCAGATGGTACAAATATCAACATTCAGTAATTTCCTTGGGTAATGATGCTACAATATTAGAGGCATTAGCTTTTATGCTGTCCTTTAAAAATAAAGATATACATTATAAAGTTCCTCTTAGAATTCAGAATCAGGAACTATATGGATAGGCAATAAAAGCAAAAAAAAAAAAAAAAAGCAAGAGGGACTATATACAATTAAAAAGTTTCTGCACAGCAAAGAAAACAGTCAATAAAGTAAAAGGGCAACAACCTATGGAATGAGAGAAAATACTGCAACCCATATATCCAATAAGGAGTTAACTTTCAAAATATGTAAGGGAATCCTACCACTCAACAGCAAAATACTAGTTTAAAAATGGACAAAGGACTTGACATTCCTGCAAAGATGACATACAAATGGCCAATATGAAGAGATGCTCAATGTCACAGATAATCAGGGAAATGCAAATCAAAGCTACGAGATATCACTTCACAACTGTCAGATGGCTACCATACATTTTAAAAGTTCTGTCAAGAATATAGAGAAATTGGAACCCTTAATATATAAATGAATACAAAATGGTGTAGCCACTATGAAAACCAGTATGGAGGTTTTCCCTCAAATTTTAACAACTATCCCTATACGAACCAGCAATTCCACATCTGGCTATATACATAAAATATATAAAATGAAATCAGGATCTTGAGGTGGTATCTGTACTCCCATGTTCACTGCAGCATTATCCAGAAAAGCCAAAACATGGCAATGACCTAAGTGTCCAACAATGGATGAATGGATAAAGGAAAAGATGTGTATACACACAATGGAGTCTATTTAGACTATGTTAATCCTGCAGTATGCAATAGGACAACATGAATAAATTTTAAAAACAAACATTGCATGATTCCACTTACATGAGGTATCTAAGAATCAAACTCATCAAAGCAAAAAAAAAAAAAAAAGAACGGCCAGGGTAAACAGTAAGGTCAAGGTCCTATAGTATACAGCACAGAAATCATACTCAATATCCTATAATAAACAATAATGGAAAAGAAGAAAAAAAGAATGGTGGTAGCAAGGAGTTGTGGTGGAGGTGGGTTGCTATTCAAAAAGTATAAAATTCAGCCCCACAGTAGATCTGCCATACAACACTGTGTTTAGATAACAATACTGTATAGTACCATTTAAAAATCTGTTAAAAAGTAAATCTCATCTGTTCTCACCGTAATAAGATTTAGAAATTTTAAATGATCCATATAGAAAAAAAAAAACACTAAAAAAAAAAATAATTAAAGTTAAAATGGTAAACAGAAAACACACTTTTCTCAAGTTGAAAACATGTTTATTATTCAATACAGATTAAAAACTCGTATTGTTTTTGAGCAAAAATTAAGAGAAACCTGTATCAACAGTATTTCTGACAAAATCACTCAATAAAGACAAGAGGGAAAATCTTGCCAAATATAAAAACAAACACACACCAAACCCAAGTGCCAATGAAGAAACAAAAATTAGCTGGGATTCACACTTATGCAGTGAAATTGAGATAACGAAACAGTATCATAATGTTTTGTATCCCAGGTATACATAACTCCATGTAAATAAACGCAAAAGACAAAGTTTCCAAATAGCACTGATACTGCTGACCATTCTCTTCAACACCTCCCTAGAAATATTCTTCTCTACACATACATACTATTTCCACTGAGGTCATTCCAGCTAGGTTTTCTTTGGAACCTGATTCTTCATAAAGCAGTAAATGTTACAGAGTTTAAGACTTTTAAAGCTTTCTTCTTCTTTGACTTGATACCTTCTACCTACACAACTCTGCGCCCAGGGCTTTGAATGACCACCCATCTACTGAGAATTCCAGAATGATTACGTCAAACTTTGAGTTCTTCTCTGAGCATCAGATCAGCCTGGCATGCCCACTTGCGTGACTCAAAGGCACTGTCCAAGCTAAACATAATCTTCTCACTCATCTGCTGTTCCTCCTTCCCAAAATATGGCTTCACTAGACAGTATCCATCCTTATAGCTTCTGCTTTAAAATTCTATGACCTTTTATTATTCTTCGAATAACAACAACAAAAATCTCTAACACTTTCTAATTCAAACGTATCTCCTGAACTGCAAATCAGTAGCTCAGAGAAGCCACTGGCCTTCTTTCATTTCCTTGTATGTACCACAATCTGCTCCCCAAGAAGTTTTTTGTTCTTTATTCATTTTATAAGTATAATGTATGTGGATGCAAGGGTTCCAGGTGGCACAGTGGTAAAGAATCTGCCTGCCCATGCAGGAGACACAGAGATGCGGGTTCAATCCCTGGAGTATTTTTGCCTGAAAAATTCCACAGAGGAGCCTGGTGGGCTATAGTCCTCACACACGACTGAGTGAGCATATGTGTGCACACGCATGCACACACACACTTGCAAAATCATCTCACAAATAAAAGTGTGAAGAAAAGTATTTTTATCAGCAATGCTTACAAGGGAGTCCAGACTTGAGAAAACTTAACTAAAAACACAGCAGGTTATTTAAGGGAAAAAAACCCACCAGGTTACCAAGGTTACATTTAGTCTGTTCATGGGAAGAGGAAAAGCGGTTTTCCTTCATGATTATCCTATCTATAAAGGTTATCATGTTTGTAGCCAGTGGCATTGTAAAGTCAAGCGTAAATTATTTTTAGTAGAGTTAATGTGATGAAGTATAGAGCTCAATGGAGAAGGAAATGGCAACTCCAGTACCCTTGCCCAGAAAATCCCATGAACCGAGGGGCCTGGTAGGCTACAGTCCACAGGGTTGCAGTCAGACCGAGCGACTTCACTTTATAGAGCTCAAGCTTCATTAATTTTGAAGATTATTATATTTTCCTTTATCTCAAAAAGCTCCCCCACCCCTTAATTCTGGTATGTGATATACACAGGGGCTAGGTGATAGTTTTTGCTTTTAGTTATACAACAAGAAAAATGTAAACTCATATTGAGATGTGAATTCTGACATGTCAACTATGCTCACTCACCAATTAAGCTACACATCCACTACACATCAGTTTCCCAGCAAGGGTGATATATATTCACACCACAGCAAAAATACAATTAATACATTGTTCAGAATATCAGTCAAATCCATGAATCCTACAAAGATCTTCATTCACCACCTATGAGTCAGATCTTTACATGAGCAAATAACCTTTCATTGTACCAATATATGACTCGTTACTAGCGAAGACAATTTATAATAGCACAAATCTTAGTATCATAATCCCCAACTGCAAGAGACACATTCTGAACAATCTTTAAACAGCCAGAGCAGCCACACTGTATAACTCCTCAGCCCCCTTCCTCCCTACTATCTAAATTACCTTCAAGGTCATGTCATCAGAACAGGATGCCAGGAGATTGCCAGTTGGGTCCCATTTGATAGCATTTACTTCATTCTAAAAATAACAGTAAACATTTACATTTTCATTTCATAGACTTGGCTGTTCTTTGGATATTAAACATACGTACTTCAAAACCACTCTGAAACATTATTTATTCATCATAATTGCTTTAAAGGAGGGAGAAAAAAGAAGTTTCTCACCGTGTGTCCCTGGAATGTTTTAATAGGTCTGTCTTGTCCTAATTTACAGACATGAATGCACATATCTGTACTACAAGAAGCAAAAGTGTTGTTGCTCTGCCAGTCAACATCCAATGCTGGTGCTGCAAAGGAAAAAAGGCCAGGTTTGCATTCATTCCACATGTACTGAAATCTAGGTGCTTTAGTTTTAAAACGTTGCTGGACATTAAGAACTTAAATGATTTGCTTTATACTTTTTATATTAATAGAATTTTTATTTTTTTTTCATTTATTTTTATTAGTTGGAGGCTAATTACTTTACATCATTGCAGTGGTTTTTGTCATACATTGAAATGAATTAGCCATGGATTTACATGTATTCCCCATCCCGGTCCCCCCTCCCACCTCCCTCTCCACCCGATCCCTCTGGGTCTTCCCAGTGCACCAGGCCCGAGCACTTGTCTCATGCACCCAACCTGGGCTGGTGATCTGTTTCACCCTAGATAATATACGTGTTTCGATGCTGTTCTCTTGAAACATCCCACCCTCGCCTTCTCCCAGAGTCCACAAGTCTGTTCTAAGATTATGGTACTTAAATATCACAAATATTAATACATTTCAGTTTGGTTGTCTCTATGTGAGACACAGCCTAATAGAAAGTACACTGGCCTGGTCACCAGGAGATGAGGGTTCCTGAGAGCTTGCTCTGTAAATTACTAGCACTGGACTCTTGGTACCTCATTTCTAAAAGAATAAAATTAAATGTGATGCTACATTTCCTTTTGTTTCTAAAATTCTGTGAGTGCTCAATGGATAAGTCTTGTTTTGCTATTCCCTAACTAATGGGCCCTTATAAGCAAGTCAGCTCTCATGCTATTTTTCTCTTCTAGAAAATGGGGATAAAAATCTTTGTGCTTAGTACTCAAGGATATTGTGAACATCAAGTTAGATAATGTGTATGGAAAGTCTTTGTAAATTACAAGTGAGACAAATGTTACACTAAGTACCATTTCCACTATCTACTTAACTGATAAATGGGAGTATTGCATGATTGGCAAATACATATTTCTTCTAAGTGACTCTTGTCAAATATCTTAAATTCTACATCATTGAATTTAAAACCTCAGAGGTCCAAAAGCTGGCTGGCATTTAATACTTTAGCTCTGATATGATTAAAGATTCTTTCCTTTCTCATTTTCCCATGTTGCAAAGTGCAAAGTTTCTCTATAATTAGCAATGCAGATTAAGGTAATGATAGCAAGTAACTGGGTTAAGCAATAGAAGCATACCAAAAACACTGCATTTAGAGCAGGCAGTAGGTGGTTGGGGGAAAGGTGAGAATCAGAAATGAAGCTTGCTTGGCAAGACAAGTAAAAATCAATATATAACAAACGCTTCAGAGCCCTGCATGAATTAGGTTGACCCTAGACCTTTGTCACAAGAAACTGCTCCCTTCCTTGGCTCCTTTCCTCTTTTCCATCCTGCTTCTGGGAGAATCCAACTAAGTCAGTGAACAAAAACACTGGCCGACTTTGATCAGCACTACGTCTGGTAAGCTGTTATTTAGGTGCACCACAACCTCTTAGAGCAATGCAGACAACCTCCTCCCCTCGCTCTGCCCTGCCCTTCTCTGCCACCAGGGCATCACATATTCCAGGTCCCCGAGCCTGCAGTACCCCAGATGGGCTCATTCAGCGCAAGAAACTGTCAGAAGTCCAAGGTCAGGACAAAGAGGGTAGACAGGCCTCTGCGGTCTCTCTCCAAGACGGGGTCTTTGGCAGTGACTCTGCTTGCCCCACGGTGCCTATTCTCGCCAGGCAGCCTATTCTCTAAAGACACCATTCCCACTGGGTGGCTGGATCTATCATTTTCTCTCCAGTCTCACGTTTACGCGGCGGCTAAACTCAGAGTTACCTCCTACTCCTCTTCTTCACCCTTGTAAGACTTCTGCAAGTTTCCTTATATTATGTCCCCTTTCTTGAATTACCGGGTTTAGATTTTGTCTCTGTGCTTTGGAATTGGAATCAGTAACTACACCTTCATTTTGACAGTAAATATTATTAAGATACAACTTTGAAAAATAATTTTAACAAAATGCTTATATGATAATTTATTATAGTGTTAAGAAGTAGGGGAAAGGACTTCCCTGGTGGCATAGTAGATAAGGGTTTGCCTGCCAATGCAGGGGACACGGGTTCGATCCCTGGTTTGGGCAAATTTCACAGGCTGCGGAGCAACCAGGCCCACATACCACCACTACTGAGCTCTGCTCTGCAACAAGAGAAGTCACTGCAATGAGAAGCTCACACACCACAACGAAGAGTGGCCCCTATTCGCTGCAACTAGAGAATGTCTAACTGCAGCAACAAAGACCCAGTGCAACCAAAAAAAAAAAAAAATTGTGTGTGTGTGTGTGTGTATGGGGGGGGGGGTGCCAAAAATGTAAATAATTTAAAGGACAATTAAAAGTTATATAATAAAATGCTATGAAGAAGGCCAAGTATCTGTTGTGCTCCACCAGGGTATCAATTTGGTAAAGCATCATCTGATAACGTTAGATAGGTGGCTGAGAAAATTAGAAACAGTACTTAAACAAATACACCATTAGGTTCAGGACAAAACAAAAACCAACCGTATAACCAGATAAAGATAACTGAAGGAAGCTGGAGAATGCTGAGACGTGAGATGTATGATTAATGTTCTGTGATATGCTTGGCTCATAAGATACAGTAATTATTGGTTGGTGTGATCTAAGAAACCATACCTCCTTACTTTATATTTTATTCCTAAAATTTAAAAATGACTCTAGGTAATATAAGTCCTTCAGGATAGAAACATATCTCTAACATAAAATATATTTTTATGTAGGTAATATGTGAGAGGTATATTTACTATTATTGGTTTCATTTTTCATATGATGAAAAAGGCTAAGAAAAGTTAATTGGCCTAGGATTACACAATCTTTTAAATTCCTGGAGCAAACTTCTAAATTCCTGGAGCTGGAATTCCCTGGTGGTCCAGTGGTTAGCACTCTGCTCTTCCACTGCAGGGGGCATGGGTCTGATCCTTGGTTGAGGAACAAGGATCCTGCAAGTTGCAGCAAAAAAAAAAAAAAGTCCTGGAACTAAGATTCTATCTCTGTGTCCTCCAATTCTGATTTATTTTTTGTTAACCCATGCATCTTTCATAATCTAGAAAGGTAATAAATAAACCTATGAGGGAAAGGGAAAAGGCATTTAATATTCATTTGCCTTTTTCAAAAAACAGCTTCACTGAGATATAATTCATATATCATACATTTCATCCATTTAAAGTGTGCAATTCAATGGTTTTTAGTATATTACATTAGTTTTAAAATACTGTGGTCATACATAACACGAAATTTGCCATTTAATTAAGTGTACAATTCAGCTGTATCAATTACATTCACAATACTGTACAATCATCACCACTATTTTCAAAAGTTCTTCATCACCCCAAACAGAAATTCTGCAACCATTAAGCAATAACTCTCCATTTCGCCCTCCTCCCAGCCTCTGTAATCTTGAGTCTTTACTTTTAAAGTTATGTATGATTTACTTCACTTAGCATAAGGTATGCAAGTTCTCTGGTGTTGCAGCATGTACCAGAAATTCATTCTTTTTTGTGGCTGAATAACAATCCATGTCTATAGAGACTCCATTCTGCTCATCCACTCATCTGCTCATGGAGAGTGTGTTGCTCTCAGCCTTTGGCTACTGTGAACAACGCTATCAATACTGATAGGAATTCATTCAAGTTCCTGCCTTCAATTACCTAGGAGGAGGACTGCTGGTAATGGTAATTCTATGTTTAGCTTTTTGAGGAACTGTCATATGCTTTTTCACAAATGTACCATTTTACATACCTACTAACAAAGTATAAGGATTCTGATTTCTCCACATCATTATGAACACTTATTTTTTACAGCTATCCTAATGAATATGAAATGGTTAATTCATCTATAATCATGATTTATGCTTTATGTAAGAGTATATGGATGAAAATACAGTATAGGAATTAGAATATGGTAATTTTAAAAGCATGGTAGACTTCCATTCCTGGTCAAGATGGGGTAACAGGAAACAAATTTACCTCCTGCCCAAAATAGCCAAACACTTTCAAAATGTATGAAACCACAGTTCAAGACTCTGGGTTGGTGCTAGTGTTAGTTGCTCAGTTGTGTCCGACTATTTGAGACTCCACGGACCACAGCCTGCCAGGCTCCTCTATCCATGGACTTCTCCAGACAACAAGACTGGAGTGGGTTACCATTCCCTTCTCCAGGGCATCTTCCTGACCCAGGCATCAAACCTGGGTCTCCTGCATTGCAAAAGGGTTTTTTTACCATCTGAGCCACCAGGAAGACTCTGGTATGAGACAACAAAGGACAGTGGTTCTTGAGAGAAGGAAATCAACCAACAATGTGCCTCTAATTGCTCATATGATTTGGAAAAACGTCCAGATCTCGGCCCAGGGAAGAGGAATCTCCCTAAGGAAGAGATTGATGAAATTCCTGTGGGGAAGAGATAAAGCTCAGAATCTAGAGAGCCACAGGCAGCTAGAATTCACAGCACAAGAAAGGAGAGTGGTGCAGACAGAATTTTGAAGACCTGTGGCAGGTCCGACTCACAGAGTTAGAGTACTAATCAGCCTAAGTATGTGAAGATACCAGCTGAACCTTGGGAAGAACGATTGAAAAGGATTAGAAGAGACAACACCTGATACTCAAGACTGGAAACATGCAGCAGGCTAGAAAACCTTTTGATTCAAGGAACACTGGTTTGAGTACATGTAGGTTCTTGCCTCAGTACCAGGAAATAATTAGCCCTACACTGAGCACTGTTTCCCTGTCATTTAACAAGTTTCATAAGCGTGACCCAAAGGATCAGACCGTTTCCAGGTAATTTAACAATGAGTCAGAAGAAAGTTCACAAATACTTAGAAGAAAAGAAGTGTAAACTTGAAAAACAGCATAGGAATTATCCCATTTGTCAGGTGGCGCTAGTGGTAAAGAATTTGCCTGCCAAAAACAAAAAACAAAAAAAGAATCTGCCTGCCAATATAGGAGATGCAAGAGATGTGGGTTCAAAAGGGCAACCCACTCCAGTATTCCCACATGGAGAATCCCATGGACAGAGAAGCCTGGTGGGCTATACAGTCCATGGGGTCACAGAGTTGACACGACAGAGCACACCTGAAAAAAATACTGGATAAAAAATGAAGAGTATTACGGGAAATCAAGCAGACTAATAAAACATTCAAAACTGCAAGTTAAAAAAAAATGTGGGGAGGAAGTAGGATATTTTTAAAAAATAATGGTCAAAAAATTTTTTTCATTTGAAGGAAACTATGTACAAAGACATCCAAGCTTCAAGGACAAGAAACAAAGAAAACTAAACTAAGGCACAACATATTCAAATTGTACAAAATCATTTATAAGCAGAAAGATCTAAAAAGCAACCAGATAAAACAAGACAAATTACTACAGAGCAATAAGGATGAAAACTGGAACAAGTTCAAAATGAAAATAGTATAAATAAGAGAACACCACATTATTTTTTTAAAGTACTGAAAGAAAAAAATCCCAGAACTCTATACTCAACAACAACAAAATCTTTCAATAATGAAGGTGAAATACAGACTTGTTCATATATATATATAAAGAATTCATCAGCATTAGATTTGCCTGTAAGGAATGTTAAAGCAGTTCAGGCAGAAAATAAATGATACTAGATGAATTAGATGTGTATGCAAATACACAAAAAAATGAACAGTTGGAAACTGTAACTATGAGTAAAAATTATTATTATTTAATCTCTTTAAAATATCACTTGAAAGTATATTGTGCTAAGTTAAAGATGTGTACTCTAAATCCTGATGCAACCACTATAATAAAAGATTTATAGTTAATAACCCACCAAAGGAGGAAAAATGTAATTATAAAAATATTCATATAATCCAAATGAAAGTGGAAAAATAGGAAAAGAAGAAGAGATAAATAGAAATATTAATTTAAATGCAATCATATCAATAATCACATTAAATGTAAAGAACCTAAATATTGCCATTAAAAGGCAGCAGTTGATATTCAGTAAACAAGCAATAAATGATGCCTACATAAATTACACTTCAAATGTAAAAGTATGGAGCAACATATACCATGCCAACACTAACCAAAAGAAACTTGAAGGGCTACATTAACATCAGACTAAGTAGGTTGCAGAGTACAAAAAACAAAAAACAAACAAACAAAAAAAGGATCATTAACAAAATGATAAACAGATCAATTCAACCTGAGGATGCAACATTTCTAAATGTTAATGTCCTTTATAGCACTGTTTCAAAATAGATAAAGCAAAAATTGACAGAAGAAATTAGAAACTGTGTTTTCCAATTATAATTGATGATTTCAATACCGTTCTCTCAGTAACAGGTGGTATAAGCAGACAGAACAATCAGTTAAGGCTATAAAAAATTTGAACAACCTTATGAAACAACTTGACCCTCATGACACTTATAGGAACAATGGAATTCTATTAGAAAGCGGGCTTTGCAGGTGGTCCAGTGGGTAAGAATCCGCCTTACAATGTAGGGGACACTGGGTTCCTTCGATTCCTGGCCCGGAAAGATCCCACACACTGCAGGGCAAAAAGCTCATGCGCCACAATTGCTAAGCCTGCGCTCTGGAGCCTGCGAGCCTCCAATACGGAAGCCCATGCACCACAGAGCCGCACTCCACAACAAAGAGCCACTGTGACAAGAAGCCCGTGCCTATAACTAGAGTGGCCCCCAATCTCCACAACTAGAAAAAGCCCGCACACAACAACGAAGATCTAGTGCAATCAAAAGTAAAATGAATATTTTTTATTAAAAACTAGAAAGCAATGCTACAAAGACCTCGGAAATTTTCCAATTATTCAGAAATTAATATGATGAATCAAAATTACTTCAGAAAGTATTCTGAACTGAATGAAATCACAATATCTGAAAAATTGTGAGGTGTCACTAAGTAGTAGTAAGAGGTAAATTTACAGCACTGAATGTCAGATCCCCATTGGAAAAGTAGAAAGGTTTCAAATCAGTGACCTCAACTTCTGTATCAAGCAAAAGAAAAAGATACTTCACCAAAGAAGACATACAGATAATAAATTAACACATGACAAGATGCTCAACATCATTAATCATTAGGAACTACAAATAAAACCATAGTGAGATACCACAACACGCTCATTAGAGGGGCTACAATTAAAAAGACTGATCATATACCAAGTGCTGGCAAGGTTATGGAGGGACTGGAATACCCACTGTTGCTGAGACTGTAAACCAGTTAGTAAAACAAACTCTGGAAAACAGTTCAGCACTTTATTAACAAGTAAAACACAGACCAACCATATATCTAGCCACCTTTATGGGTCTTCACACAGAGAAATGAAAACACAAGTTCATAAGAAGACAACAAAATGAATGTTCTTAGCATAGCAGTATTATTTGTAATAGCTAAAATCTGGAAAACAACTTGCTTCAACAGGTAAATGGATAAACAAACTGGTATATTCACATAATGGAATTCTATTCATACATCAAAAGGAATGCAAAATAATTATTCACAATGAAAGAAACCAGATGCAAAAAGGATATATACTGTGTAATTCTTATTTATATAATGTAAACTAATTTCTGGTGACAGAGTATCAGTGGCCACCTGGAGAAGAGGCAGAAAATGATTTCAAAGGAGCAGGAGGAAACTTCTGAAGCTAACAAATGCATTGTCGTAAGTGTGGTGATAGTTTCAGTGATGTGTGCGTAAAAAAAAAAAATAATTATATATATATACACACACACACACACACATGCCAAAACACATCACACTGTGCAATTTAAAAATTTTTTCCTATATCCTAGGAATGGTGGAAAATTGAAATAAGTGGTGTGGCACTGTTATGAGTTCCTAGGATGTAGGAAAAATTTTTAGGCAGAACGGTCAGAGGTCTAAGAGAATTACATCTGGTTGAGGACTAGAGGCAAAGGCGGAAAGAGATTAAAACAGGTGAACAGAAACTTATGTGTAAATAAATACTTATTAATGTGATAAGCTTTAATCAAGCTGAATTGTTTAACACAGTTCTTGCAAATTTATGCCACTCAGATACTACTAAAAAATCATTTTGTGCCTTGTTTGACTTATTGAATCACACCAAATACAGAGAAATACAAAAAAGCAAACTGCCAAAAGCTGTGTATTTCAATTTAAAAGGTAACACTGTGCCGTTGACTGTAAAAAGGGTATTACCAAAGCCTTGAAAATACCAGAACTACTTAACTCAGCCTCCAATTTAAAACTCTTTCCAACCACAACACAATCTTGCATGATGAAATTAACTCAGGCAGTACTAAAACTACTGTTCTAAACATTAATAGGGATCTTGTTCCAGTTTAACATCAGTTTCTGTTCTCAGAAACCCCCCTGAAAGCAGGAACAAAGCTCCAGGAGTGTTGGTGCTAAAATCAAGGTGTCTCTACACATCCGGATATATGCCCTGCTGCATGGCCATTTATCATGGCGAAAGAAGCACACTATTTTGGAGATCAGATTTACCTGATTTAAGTATCAAATTATTTCCTAAAAGAGAAAAATATCTAAAGCACCAAAGTTCCAGCAATATCGGGAAAGCCTTACAATTTTTATTTTAGGTAAGCAAGCAAAACGTGACAATACCTAAATTGTTAGGAGTTTATGTAGAATTTTCATATATATGTATTAGTCTTATGTGCTTACTCAAACGGTATTATTTTTATCCCTCGTTTACAGATAGAGAAAATACGGTTCAGAAAGGTTCAGTGACTCTCTCAATCTTAAAGCCTGTTAAGTGGAGTGGGATTCACAAGCACACCTAGGCATCCTGGATCAAAAATCTATGTTCTTACCATTATATACTACTAACTCTAATGGCACCAGGCTGAAAATGCTTTTTTATGGTACATTTCACAGAAAACATTTGATGATCCTCTGATGATTAATTATCTGAAAGCCACTGAACATCAACTCCTCAAAGGACTAGTAACAAAACTTACGTTTGATAGTTCAAGATTTTAGATGATTTATATGCTATTAAAAGTTTAATTAGGAAAACAAAAGTTCTAAAAGTTCTCATGTAAATTGTGAAGATTTACCTGAATGAAAAGGAAATTGTTGCTTGGCTTCACCAGTATGTGCATCCCAAATAATTGTAGTCTAAGAAAAGAAAAATACATAGCTAAGAAAAGTTCATCATATATACATAAATTAAATGCCTCATATTAAAGCAATAGGAAATGTCAGAGTGCACTGAACATTTACTTTTAGTACAATGAGGCTACATCCCACTGGGAGCCGGGAAAGGATGTTTAAATTAAACTGTTAAGCAGTTTAATTCTACCCTGGTGACTTTGCATCAGTCAACTTACTTCAAGTAACAATTACTGATTGTCTGCAAAGTACCAAACATTGTATTAGATTAAGAAACTCCATTGTAGTAGTGTATTTAATGTCAGATTTTTATTGCTGTGCAGCTTGAGGAGGCAAATTTTAGTTAATATAATAATCAGCTAATTCTCAATATTAAGATTTTTAAAGCTCACATTTATAAATAAAGGCAGCTTTAATTCTGACAATAATTAAAACAATGCTTTTTATATTACATCAAAGTATAACATATACATCTGAATGGATACATTCACAATTCCACTAATACCCTCCCATCACTAATTTTATAACTTTGGGGTCATAAGTATTGTAGAATGGCAGTAACTACTAAGAAGGCTTTCCCCTCCCATTCCTGGCTACCTTCATATTCTTCCTTTTTGCCTACTTCCCTTTTTAACAATATACAGGTAACTATGAGCATATACTTTCCTGTATTATAAAATAATCTTTTCTGGGATGTGTGGTAAAGGAAATAACTTTAAGAAAATAAAGGAGAAATAACAAATGATTTCAACCTATCCATGTTTACCAGCCATATTAGGTGAAAGCTGGAAAAACCCTGCATTTCTTGCATTTTCAATTAAACATTAGGAGTTCAGCTAACAGACTGACTCCAAGATTTCCGATGAAATACTCCAGAGCCATACTCACTGATGAGATTAACTAAAAACTACAGAAAAGAGATGAAGAGTATCAGATATATGACTTCACTATGGCTCAAATTCCAAAACAATGAAGAGTGGTCACACAGATAAGAATAAAGGGCATCTGCACAGATTTAAGAATGAGCTGACAGAAAATCTAAGAAAGCATTTCTACATCTAACATAAATTCACATGTGAATTTCCCAAATATGAATGTTTTATTATTTATGTGATTAGCAGAGGAGAATATTACTCTCAAGTATACTCTTTAACAAATTAACTTATACAAGTTAATTACCTTGTCTACTCCAGCACTTAGGATGAAATTTCCTTTCTTATTCCATTTTAATGCAAATATGGGACCTTTATGCTGCCCCAAAGTGCTAGCAAGGTTACCTAAAATTCAAGAGGAAAAACATTAAAATTACTTTAAGCTTTGTAACTTGGATCAACAGTAAAAACAAGTGGGGAAAAAAATGCTTTATTTACCATCTTTTGTCCATATTCTGGCAAACCCATCATAAGAACCAGTTGCTAGAAGTGTACCTTCACTCTGTTGGAGAAACACATTTTTTTCAATTATATAACCCAGAAAGGGTATTTAATTTTTATTAGAATATATTATGTTTAATCCCAAGTACAGCAGGTCTGTGACATTCTCTGCTTTAAGACCTTCAGCTTTGCCTATTTGGAAGTGCAAGAAAAGGCCTACAGAACACCCTTCATGTTGTGAAGCTAGTATTTTGGGAGCATTCAGTCAGGGTGCAGGCCTCACACCCCAGTCTTGGAAGGGCAATAACTACTTGGGAGCAGGATTATCACCGCTCTTACAGGTGCTAAGCTCTACTTACTGTACTCTCACAAAGGCCCAGGACTAAACGTGGGGGTCGGGTGGAGGATTAAAAAGGACATCAAATCTTAATCTTATGATTTAATAAAGGTATTCAATAAAAAGCAAAATCTTCCAAAATGTTTCATTATGATTAGAAGTTTTCATATTGCCCTCCCTCTAAATCTTTTACTGTCTAAACCGTGTGTGTGTTCCAAACAATATTGTTTCAGATGATCATTTTCTTAAATATCACTACATTAAACATCTCTTTCTTTTGCTAATTTTTTCCCGTACCAATAAAAATAGCAACACACACACACGAGTCAGAAAAGTGTGTAGGCTGACTTTATAGTTAATGAAGTGAGTAAACTGTCCGGAACTACTCCACTATGAGGAGGAATCCTTAACGTTTTCTCTGATCTTAAAACTTCCTACGGTGCCTTGCCTTGAACAGTGGTACCGATGGCAGGACTTGCTAAGATCTAACCTACTCTGTGGAAATCCAAGTTTCCGAGTACAGACTATTGCTGAGATGAGTAAACATTACAGGAGAGACAGAATGAAATTCTGCCTTACTCAGTACTTTCTGATGCTTTTTGGTAAGAGAATGAAAACAAGATCACCTTTTCAGACCTCGCCAGTCATCTAGCTGTGCAGTTAAAGTGACAAACAAATGCTGGTTGTAGGTGATGCAGATTCAGTTCTGCTAGGATTTAGAAATCCCCTATAGTTCTATCTAAGGAAGAAGGAGCAATGTTGAAGCTAACAGCACAAGTTTATTTCCAAACTCTGCACAATGCAAAGTTTCCTTTAAACTAATGGTTTTAGACCATGGACCACTAGGTAAAGGAGGAGAATAATAAGGAACAGCTATCTCACAGGCTTCTGCTTTAGCCATGGAAATGAGCCATTAAACAACAATAACATTTTCTCCTTCTAGGGGAAGACTTAAGTTCATAGCAAGTAATAAATCTTCCAAAAGTCTATACTTTAAAAAGCTTTAACTTGCAGTTCAGAAACATCGAGCTCAACAAATCATTTGTTCACCATCCTTTTCAGTGTAAACTATAAATTTCATTAAGTTAACATGGTCTCTGGACCAAACAGCCCAAGAAGACTACAAGGCCTTTGGCCTATGATATAGTAAGGTCCCATTTTAAGAATGGAATTCTTAGTTCTCACCCTACAATCAAATAACAGTTTAGAATTCTCAACTTTATAGGTGGGAAAGGGTAAATAGATTGCTGGAAATTTAGAAAAGAACACTAATAAGCCTTACCATGAGTTCTGGAAGAATTTCGTAGAAACTAAGAACTTTAGATAGTGTAATCATTTTGAAAGATAGATCTTATTTCTTGGAAAGAGATTTGGAAGATACTTTGAAAAGCCCCACAAAATGTGTTAAAACAGAGTCCAGAGAAGGAAAGGATGTCCACTTGCTAAGGAAAGGACAGCTGACCTCTAAAATTCTTGGTAACACTGATACAGTCTAAGAAGTTACTAGAACCAGAGTTGGGGGAGTGGGAGGATGTTAAAAAAAATGAACGTAAAGTTACAAGGAAGAAAAAAGACAACATGGAATAAAGGAAAAGATACAGAAACTTTTAAAATGCTAATTTTCCATAAGTTACTTATGGGAATGGTAGCAAAGAAAGCTGTTAATTATATATTTGAAACTGAAAGGATGAAGCTTTATCAATAGTGAAATCAAATTTTCTGGTAAGTAAAAGTAAACAAAGATACTGAATTATATGTAGAATCAGAGAATTCTAAGAGTCCTACAGTTAGAATAAAGCTTGTAATCTAGACTAACAGTTCCTAAAAAGCAGCTGGCAATGAAGTTTTCATCAATTAACAGCAAAATGTAAGAAACAAGACTATGTTTCTATTACAAAGATTTCTCTTGTACCCCTAACAAAGGACTTAGTAGTTAAGAACTTAATTAATACTGGAATAGATAGCCTTTCCCTTCTCCAGGGGAATCTTCCTGACCCAGGAATCGAACTGGGGTCTCCTGCATTTCAGGCAGATTCTTTACCAACTGAGCTATCAGGGAAGCCCATTAAGAATTTAGTACATGCCTATTATTGGTTTTCATTTATTATTTAATTTATGTAGGAACATTAATACACTCCTACTTTACATGTGATGAGAATGAAGTACAGAGTGATAGACCACCAGTTGCACAAAGATTCTATAGCTAGATAAACTGAGAGGTTGAAGATGAACCTTGCTCTGACTGCTCAAGGGCCAGTCTTTGCTTTTAACACATTTGGTTTGGGGACTCCTAGTCTGCTGTTCTTATCAGTGAAATTCAAAAATACCTGAACAAACAGACATACCCGGACACCAGTTTGAGGCTCAGAGAGGTTAAGTATGTTAGTTTAACTACATCCATCATGGACAATACAGTGATACTCACATTCCAATCTAGCGATGTCACATCCTTGTTGCTTGGGACATCTTGCCCGCCTTCTCGTATACAATGTCTAAGTACTAACTGTGTGGAGCCACTCGTGCTATTTTCACTAAGATTCCATATTCTTGCTGTTGAGTCTCCAGACCTATAAAGTATGCAACATATTTTAAATTTTCACGATATTCTCAAGTATTACAGAATCAAGGCAACAAATTTATATCCTATTATTAATGAGGCAAATACAAACTAGAGTATCAGGCATTTCCATTTCCAGTATTTTTCTCAGTCTCCATTTTGGGGATGCCAAAATCACTCCTGAGGGAGTAATTTAAAAACTAATATTACTTTATGAAGAAATAAAAGATTTATGGGGCAAAATGACCACAAACAAGCAACAACAAAAACCTGGAAGTGTAAGCAATGTATTTATAAAACATGCACTATTTCAGTAAGATTCTTTTAGAAATCCATTTTAATTTCACTTTGAGAAACATACCCTGATGCCAAGAGATCACTAACGGGGTTCCAGGCACAGATGAAAACTTCAGATTCATGGCCCCGTAACACAACTGCTTTATTAGGAGGGATTTCAACATCCCCATCCACTTCCATCATATCAGTATGATTATCTGCATCATGAGAAATAAATGCAAAATTCCAGTTAGGTAATAATATCACAGCATATTGGAGGAAAAAAGGAATTCTTAACCAGCAGATAGAGTGTAACTTTCTTATTCCACTATGTCAGGTAATATTGAAAATGACTATACAGAATTTATCACATGAAAAATAAATTCCAATATTTAGTTAAATATGAATATATTTTTTTAAAAAGAGATGTGCATCTAAATGTGTGTCCAGAGATGGGGGAGCAGGACTAGAGGAAGACTGTGAAAGGTTAGGCCCAAACACAGTTAAAAATGATAAAAAAAAGTTTGAATTAAATATAATCCATGCCAACACTATTCTGAATTTCTGCCAGTAGGGGTTGCTGATATCATTCATATAACATCAAGAGTTGCCTTTATATCTTCATGCCAAAGCTTTATTGTATGTTAATGACTACTGTTATAAACTATATTTAGAAATCAAATGCAGATACAAAGTTCACTTAACAATTTAAAAAAATGGTTTCTAAATATTTTTTTAAAAAGAATGAAAATAAGGTCCATGAAAGTAAATCTAGCTTTATGGAGCTTTAGGCATAAAAAGCTGAATTGTGGGATACAATTTAGGGGAACAAGTTGGCAAAAACTAAATAGGCGGTGTTAGTTCAGCTAAAATGAGGCATCCCCATAAAGCAAGTTTCTTTTTTAATGGAACTTTCCGCTCACTTGCTATAGTATGTGCTCCATTCTCCTCCCCATTTGCCGTGTTTTCTCCATTTTTTGCAGATCCTTGTTGGTTTGTTGCAGCTGCAGCAGCTGCAGCAGCTGCTGCTTGTTGCTGTGCAAGTTTATCTCTATAAGCTTGTTGTCTTGTTTGTACTACATCAGGCATTACGGCATCTATCAGTGACAGAGACTCTATTGGTCGACCATCAAACAAGGTACCATCCTGGATTTGAAAAATTGTGAGAAGAAAAATCAAAAGGTAACACATTTAGAGCAATCTGTATTCATACAAGTCAACAGCTGAAAATCATCATTCCAAGAAAAAAAACACTGTTAGATAATTTCCTGAGTGCATGTAAGAAAGGAAGGAAGGAATCTGGAGGGAAGAAGACAACTAAAGGAAGCACTGCAAACAGCTGCTCCAATTGTCTTCCTCACCCAATTCTTACTGTTAAGTGTTGCACAGATCAAAGCTGAAATACTGAAAGGAATTTAAAAAAAAAAAAAAAGTAGGCCTGGAGGGTAAAAAGCCTTTCAATTATATTCCAAAGTTCTGTTAGTCAAAAGTAATGTGGGATAGTTAATACAATAATAAGAGGTTTGGTGCCACATTTTGGTAAATACTTCTTTAAAACTAAAAACTTTTAAAATAGTTTTCCTGAATGCAAAAGTTTCTTGTGATTTAATTAAAACATTAAGGCAGAAATAGATGTCAATATCAACAGACATTAATATCAAACTATCACCTCATTTTACTACTGTTATTAAGTTCTTGTTGCATTTGTTACAATACTGCTTCTGTTTTATGTGTTGTTCTTTTGGCCCAAAAGCAGGTAGATCTTAGCTCCCTGACCAGGGATTGAACCCATGCTGCTCCACTGGAAGGCAGTCTTAATCAATGGAATGCCAGGGAAGTCCTCATTTTACTACTGTTGACATATGAGCACAGTAAGATTTAAAGACTCCCACAGGTAGTCTATGACAGCTGGAATCCGTTAACTAGTGCTATTCAAAGCACAATCCAAAGACCAACAGTCCCACCATCATCTGGAAACTTGTTAGAAATGTAGACTCAAAGCTACAGAATCAAAATCTCTAAAGGGCTCAGGAATCTCTGTTTTAACAAGCTTTGGGGGAGAGTCTTATATGCACAGAAACATTTGAGAAGTACAGCTACAACTCACAGGCTAGTGTTAATTTTATCAATTGCTATAATTTTCCAAAGCTCCTCTCATTAGAAAGTTCACAATATTAGAAAGTTCACAATAAATATGTTCTAAAACAAGCAGGAGAAGAGACACAGGCACAGGGCAAGTCAGAAATAGAAACAGTGCATATTAGCTGGAAACATGAATAAATGAAGCCTGGCTCACTTAAGCTAGTGAACACGCCCTAGGTGGTGTGATGGGATGTGTTATAAAACACAGTGCATCTCTCTAAACTGTCGATTATAATAGAGTATTTGAGGAGCTGGAGCAAGTATTTTTAAACTTAAAAAAAAATATTAAAACCAATATAGATATATTGTGGAGTACTATATTAAATCTAGAAAAAATTTTTTCAGAAAAAAAGAGACTTCAACTCTGGCCACTGGGAGAAATGGTTTTATCATTCTCTGCAATAAGTATAGTTTGGGAGGCAAACTGCTAAAAGACAATGAGGACACATTTAATTTAGTATCAGTAGATTTTTCAGTTACAGACATAAGGACATTAAAAAAATAATCAATTTAGTACACTATAATTATAGTAATAAATACTGATGTAGAAACCATGGATACTTTAGTTTTTAAAATACCTGCAAAAGGAAGGGGGAATATGTTAATCTCTGAAGTGAAAATAAGGTAAAAAGCTCCATGTATCACAAATCCTGACCATGTATAAAAATTATCAGCTATACCAGGATGTGCAGAACCTTTCTGTATATTTTGGGCTTTGCAGACCATAAGGTCTCTGTCACAACCACTCAATGTTGCCACTGTAGCACAAAAACTAGATAATACGTAAATTAAGGAGTGGGACTATGTCCCAAGCAAACTTTACAGAAACAAGTGACAGGCAGACTTTGGCTCATAGGCCATAATTGATTGACACAAGTTAAACTGCCTATATCATATACTGTAGACAGGAGCTTTCCAAAACCACTTATAACCAATAACCTAAGATCTTCTAATTTCTAATCAATTATGGTCTCAGTATTCCACAGCACAATTTTCTTATTGTAAAGAAAATTATTTCTTACTGTTTACTTATTAAACCATGTAAAAAGCAATAAGATAGTGGTCCTTATAGTTGAGAGCCATCAGCCTTGCCTGTGTGCCCTGACATCACATTGGGAATAACGCCCTTCAGTTTTGTTTACCTGGTGAAGCTGAAGTCAGATCATGAATGAGCAAGCAAGATATCAGATATTTAAGGAAGCATTTAGGAGTAAGAATTAGTACTTGAACTACGTCTTCCTTACCTCATTAATACTAACTTCTGCCTCTACATACTGTAGACCTTTCTGGATGATAGAAATCAATGCAGCAGGCGGGACGAGGGCACCATTTATGTTAGACTGACTGATATGGCTTTCTATACCAAAGGTGAATGCTGAATGAGAGAATCCTGAAAGCAAAAGAAGAGGTGTAACAATTTATTCTCCAAATGGTAACATTCAGTGTGACACAAAGGAAAGACTTCTGTAATCCTTCAAATAAACATTCCACCCATTTGAAATCCCAGACTGTTACCTAAGGCCAAATATGTTTTTAAACAAAAGAAGTATCAAAATCCAAACACATTAACCTTCATGCATTTTCCTCTTCACTTTAATTATATAACCATAGCACAGAACATAATTTTCCTCAACAAATAGTATTAAACTTTAAAGTTGGGAAAAAGCCTTTGTAAGTCATGTGACTCAACGGCTTCACTCAAGATAAATTAAATGACAGTTAATATTTCTGTACTGTATTAAAATTTCTGTATATAAATCATCATACATCTTGTAATTCTATATTTTGTAGGTTATTTTTAAAAACTATTTAGGAAATAAAAAGCAAACTAAAACTAACATAAGGAATGAAAACTGTAATGAAAAATAATTTTCATGCTTAACTTTCATTGTATATATGATTAAGTACTAAAAAAAAGTCACTAATTTTTTGCTACTTAGTAATAACCCATCTAAATGGAAGCTTTAGAAAAAGAACAGCTGGCAAGTGAAAATCCAATCTGTATGTCCATCAACAACTCTTTGATTTTAATTTGAAATATTCAAACCAAAATATTCACATAACAAAAATCTAATTTTAAGTCAATTTAAGTCACTTGCTTTTTATGAAAGTCAAGTCCAAATCCAAAAGTAAAATTCTAGTAAACTGACAGACTGAGGGCGGTTAATCTCTTTACCAACATATCCGTCAGAGCTTAACTAGTAACTATCATTAATGTTAAGTAATTCAATTAAATTATACATTTGTACAGAATGTTAAATAAGGGAAATGAACACGGGTTTATCTGGGTCTTGGTTAAACTAATTTAATCCATATAACATGTTGTCAAGCCTGTCCTTAGATGTTAGTGCTTACTCCATGTCTTTTTTGTTTTGTTTTGTGCTTTGCACTCTCAGACTCCTTGTGGCACTTATGAACAGTCTATCATAAAATACTGTGGGCTCACAAACAGCATGTGGCTAGAGGCTATTTTCATTGGTTAACAGAGAATCATAGTACACCTAAGTTAATTTTCCTTAGGGCTGTCCCTTCCTTACCTCTTTGGGATACCTAACCATTTCTGTAACTACCCATAGTGAGAAATAAGAAAATGCTAGCATATGAGACTTGAATTTTGACTTCTTGATTTCACCCACAGACAAGATCATTATTAAAAAAGCATTTATAATCTGCAACTTATCTGAGCTCACAAGGAAGACACAAAAAACAGACAAATGAAAAAAGCACCGTTTTGCTCTGTCCCTATCAGGAAATCCAGAACTACCTGAGGATGAGCAGATCCCAGATCACCAGGATAGGAAACTGAGAAAAAAGACTAGGAGGGATTGGGGAGAAAGGTTATGAGATAAGGGCAGTGAAATCCAGAAGCAGTGAGGTTGGGGACTCCTGTTCTCAATATCATACCCACCCCCAATAAATTCTGCAGTAAATCATAAACAGAAAGAGGGGAAAAGCTAAACAACCAAGTGGCTTGGGGTAGAAGACTTCGAGATAGACGATATCACTTACAGAGGGCCTATATCATGCACACATATATAAATCTTATTACTTTCTCATCTTAGCAGATGAGAAAACACAAAGAAAATACAGATTTATTCAGGGACCATGGCCATAACCATTGCATTCCCCCTATCCTACTGAACAGTTAGAATAGGGTCAAGGATAAAGCTAAGGCAGAGTGAGCTCCTGCATATTAACAAAAAATAAAAGACAGCATCATTATTCTTATTTCATTTCAGGGTATTAGAAAATGGCATCAGTAGCACATGAGACATTAAAACATTTTATTAATAAGCAAGATATTTTTTATTTTCCAAAGCCTTCTAAACTGTAGCAAAGTCTATGACTTCTGTACTCCAATTTGTGAGTGCAATTTAAATAATTATTAATTACATTTAGACTGTTTAATTAGATGACAAAGTTCAAGATTATGTCCAAGAATATCCTAAGGGCTGCACGTAGAACAATGTCAATTTTTAACTGGAATGTTGCCTATGTTCTGAATTTGTTTTGTGAGACCAGGTGCTCTCTGCCATCGTAAGTTATTACATATGCACTTACAATGTTCTCAAATAGCAAGAAAAACAACCCTAAAGTAATCATTAATACTGTTTTGGCACTTATCGTTAATATATATTTGCCCTAAAGAAGGTCCATACTTAAAATGCTCTTCTTAAATACATGCTGAATTGAACAATAACTTTTTCTTTTATCTCTAGTTACAGCATTAAAAAGCAGCTTAAAATTACGTTCAAAACTCCTCCTCCTCTTCCCCGCCCTAAAATAACTTCTGCCTTAGAAAGTTTTCACCTTGCTGTGCTCTACCTCAAGGTCATCCTAAGTTCCACCTCAGCCCCTGGCATTCCACCATTTGCCAAATCCTATCAATTCTCCCTCTCTGGTCTCTGTCATCGCTTTCCTTTTGTGCCCAAACCTGGCTTTTAGTCCCCTTCATCCTTTACCTGGACGACTGCGGTCATAAGTTCCTTTCCTCTCCTCCCCAGTCAAGTACACTTGCAACACTACAGCTAGAAGACTACTTGTAAAACAAAAAATGATCACACCCTCCTTACTTGAGTACTTTCAACAATCCTTTTAGCCTTCATAATCAAGGTCAAACTCTCTAAGTGTGACACATAGGTACTTTTGCAATCTTTACCCTACTCATCTCTCCAGGCTTATCTCCCCAATTCTTCTCAATGCACATTAAACTCAAGTGACTGCAAATTACAACCAAGACCTAGAATATACTGTGCTATCTCATGCCTTTGGGCTTTACCACACACTTTTCACCTGTGTGGATGGAGGTGAAATCCTTCCTTCTGCTGCTCCAGGATTGATATTTCTCTTCTATACTAATCCTCTAATTTGTGTATGTGTAGCATTCTACGGGTTGTGTGTATGTGTATGATTAATACACTGGGATGTCTGAAGATGGGGTTAATGTCTAGTAATCTTTCAATTTTAGGAAACTAGATGTCACCTAATTTTACTAGTGCTCAATAAACATTTGTTAAATCAGAATGCAATTCTACTATAATTTATCTTGGCACATCAAGAAATCTATGAATCCAGAGAAAAATATGACTTAAATCTCCCTTGAAAAACTAAAACTTGAACCAGGGTTATGCCAAAATATATTTGCATTTATCTGTAAATATATATGCAGGCAATACTTTTTCAGGGACAGCTTTTGATCCACATAGTAAAAGGCAAAAGGCATCGACTTACAGTCTGTGAAATGCTTAAGTCTAGTCTGCTTGCCTAATATAGCATCCCTTCTTTCCAGGAGAAAAAGCAAAGCTGATATAAATAATACTTTGTATAAATACTCTACAATCAAGTATTCTACACATTCACTAGAGTGATTAAAATCTGGGAGATAGAAAAAGAAATCCAGAGAGGCGTAAGGCTGAAAACCGCAAAGTTCAGTACACAGTGATTCAAGGATACTCAGTGATGAGGACTAGCAGTGGTGCGGGGGTCGATGTGCAGCTACTTCTGAGGCCATGCGCTGTCCCCGTGTAAGGAATGAGGTCACAAGACAGCCATTTTCTACATATTGCCTGTTTCAGGAGTGACCTCTCTTGGGATGATAGGGATGGTTTCCTCAAAGGGAAGTCGAGTCTTCCAGAGCCTGTCAACTCTACTTTGCAAACAGGGGGTATACGAACATGAAAAAGGCCTCTGAATGGAGGGGGGCAAAGCTTAACTACTAACATGACACAATGCCCTAGTATGGAAGTAAAATCTGATTTATATAACGTCCTTTTTTAGCATCAGGTCAGAAAAGCCCAGAAAATTATACCCCTCTTCTATCACCACATACTCTCTTGACCCCAAATCTATCCTATAGACCCAAAATTTTGTTTACTACAAAAAGTTCCATACTTAAATGCATGAAGATTTTAGAAAAGGTAAAAAGAAGTAGAGAAAAAAATGCTACATGGGACCTTATATGTTGAAAAGTTAGACCTAACACTTATTCAAAAAAACAAAAAAAGGAAAGGAAGAAAGGAAAGAAGAAAAAAAATTACAATACCAAAACCCAAATACAACTGTTAAAATGTTTTATTTCCTGTTGTCCAGCACAATACACTGGCTATGCAGTTTTATGCCCTAATTTTGCCCTTTATATATATATATATCTGAATATTTTATATGAATTGTATTTTCTGAAATAGTTTTATTATCATAATATTCATCCAATAAATGTACCAGCTAGTAAATTATTCATCCCATGGCTGGACATTTGGATTTTCCAATATTCACTATTTAAAAAGACCCTTACTTCAAATATCTATGTGTATAGGCTTTTGCCATGTATATGCATGTTTTTTTCTTTAGGATGGATTCCCTCAAAAGTTGAAGGGGACATCAGCACTTCAAAAGAAGTTCATGACTACCAAATTGCTTTTCAAAAAAACTGTGCAAGTTTATGAAACCATCAGCAATTTACACATCTCCTTATATGCTTACTACGCTGCTTATTCCTAAAAAAACAAAAAGATTACTATTAAGATTGAACAAGTTCTCTGTTCGGCAACCATTAAAGGACCTTTGTCTTTTAACAAGTATGTCAGTCGGAATGTGTAACAGGAATTTCCTTTATCAGCAAAAAAAAGTCATTCAGTTTACAAAAAGAGGAGAAAAAGTGATTTGAAAGTATAAAAGTATAGTTAATTATCAGCATTTATGACAACTTCTTGCAATTTATTGTTCATTAGTCATGTGTACAACAACTGTATCAAATTAACGCCACTGCATATTTTATTATAAAACAAAACTATGGTACCTACTTGCAGTTTTGTAACTGACCACATACTCACAAAAACTGAAAGAAAAGACTCATGGTGGACATATCAGATGCTGACCTCTCCTCTCCATTTCTTCATGGTGAAGGCACATTACTCATAGCCATTTAATCTAAACTCCTTCCAGCCTGCTGTTAAAATCTGTTTATAAATGGCACCAGCGGAGGATATGTAAGAAGCAATGTTTATCTAGCACAGTTACCTTTATCTGAGTCAAGAGAAACTACAGTATCATTTAACTGCTGATACTCTACCGGCCATTGGAGGGGTTAATACAAAAAGCAGTAAATGAAAAAGACAAATGAATGGGCTGTTGGGTATTAACACTCTGGCTACTTTGTTCCCACTACGATCATTGTGATCATGTTTAGATTTCCAAAGTAAGTGTGTTTGATGTGTGACCTTATAAACAAATATAACATTTTAAGTAAGCATCATGTAAGAAGTGGTGTGGTGCAAGGCCTATTTCCTGGGAGAAGCAACATCCCTTTGAAAAGAGTAGGAGAATGAAGTGGGGTGCAGGAGAGACAAGAAGATCTTTCATGAAGCGAATGCTTTAAGCCTACATATATCATCACCTTCTCATAAATGGAGACTACTTGGCAAGGTGAATCCCAGTTCTAAAAACATGAGGATTTTTAAAAATAACAGTATTCAGAATCACAATCTAGAAAATTATTCAGTAACAAGGACATACTATTTCTGCATTTTCCAGTTAGTTTTCAATCATAAAATGCAATTGTTTCATAGTGTTCAACACAGGTTCATCCACGAGTTCCTAAACATGTAATAGATGACAATAAAATCCATAACCAAGAATTCTCCCCTAAACCAAATACACAATTTAAACAAAATTTCATCTTATACAAAGCAACAAGAAAAACGGGTGCCACAAAGTTCACAAATAATTGCCTGGAACAATTTCCTTAGAAAAAACTAAACAACTACAGGAGAGTCAAGTGACACAAAGGGGGAAGGAGTTGAGCGGGGGGAGAAAATTTAAAAGATCCAAACCAGCTTAGCTCTTCTAAAACTAACCCTGCACTAGTTTCTCTTATATACAACCAACTATAATATGAGTATTTATTCTACCTATCATTGCTGGATATGTTATTAGGGTGATCAAATTATTAACGCCCTTGGGTAAACGCTAATTAAAGGGAACACACTGAATCAAATAAATCATTAATTGCAGCACTACATGTCAAATCCCAAAAGGGAAAAAAAAAAAAAGACAACAAATTTTATTCCCCAGGAAATATTTGTTAAATAATAACAGCACAAAATGATAATGATAAAAGTAATATGCTCAGGATGAATTTTCCAGAGATATAAATGAGAAAGGTAAAAGGTTCCATCACAATAAAACCATACTACAATAAATTGTTCTCTTCATTAGTTTTAACAAATAGGAAGGATGGCTTATTTCAGACAGTTTATAAAATATTTGAGGCTGAATACCATACTGCAGTTCCTTAAGTATGACTAACACATTTCATGAACGAGAAAATGGGAGCTCTGAGAAGTTATGTAACTGGGGGGTGGGGAGGGACTTTTACAGGGAATATTTTCTGGTACTGATAATAGTTGTAATAGGAGACTTACCACATAGTATGAAGTATTTGGGATTAAAACAAGTTAAGTGGTTTTATTCCCTCAGGAGATGGATCCCAAGATACTGTGAATACACAACACCTCTTGTCAAGTTCTAATTATCCTAAGACTAGTACAGATCCATCATTAATTGTGCCTAAGAACCACTTGGAACATCTGTAAAAAGGAAATTCTGGGGCCCACTCCTAGTTCTCTAAGTGACTGTGATGCAGGTGGTCAGAGGATCAAACTTCAGAATGCTGGTTATAGGTGGTTCTTAAACTTATTGCCAGCTGCCTTCCTAGAAAAACTACTGTTAAGTCAAAATGTCACCAGTGTAGTCTGATTTTCCCCTATAAATTCATAATGTAAATAGGAAGTTAGCAATTTTATAAAGGGACTGGTGTTCACATTTTAGACATGTGGCTTAACATCATACTTCATCACCAGTACACCATATATAGTTTTGTAAAGAATACACAAAGCACAACTAAGAACATAGTTAACAATTTTTAGGACTTAATATGATAAATATTAGTCTACCATACAAGGTATTTTTAAAAAATATCATTCTTGCTTTATGTTTACTGCAACATAAAATACCTTAAAATATAAAATTTAGAAGCGTGCTTTCTGAGAACATAAGCAATTTTAAGACTTGATAAAATCACTGGACACTTTCATAAATTAACCCAGATTATTATTTTACTGTCCCTTTTACTTGCTATATTTTCCTGCAGTGACATAAAACATCATCTGTGTTTTTCATCCACTGATCCTTCACACTATTTTTCACTTTAGTGTCTAATGAATGCCTCAAAGCTCTGACTTAACTGGTGGTTGAATTCAAAGACAGAAAAAAGCAGAGTTTGTTCTGCCCCAATAACTTCTTTCTGCTATCATTGAAAGTACTACATAACAATATCCAAATGTGAGCGTATGTGCTCCAGTCCCTGGGTCACTACCTTTTCCACTTTATTAATAATCATTATATCTTAGGCAAAATATTCTACAGATTTTCTCTTTGGATCTGCCAGTTTACCAACTGAAAACAAAACAAGATCTATTTGTTTCAAAGTTTCATAACAAGTTATCCTGCATTCTTGGTTACTTTATTTTCTTCTTTTTCCCTCCCAGCCCTTGTTGGATATAATTTTCTCCGCTGTTCCAAGCCAGAGAGGAGTAGTGATGTTGCCTGGGAATCGAAAATTCCCACCCAAGAGAAAAGCTCAGAACTGGAGTGCAGCCGGGAGTATCTCAATAAGTAGATGATCTAAAATCTAAGGCCTTGTTTAAATTATCTGCCTAAGAAAGGACAACTAACTAAACCCTGGAAGAAGAATAACTGGAGTTTCAAATCAAAATTGAAGGCTGAATATCCTACTCTATTCCTTTCACCCCTCCCCCAAAAGTGACTACAAAAATTATTTTTATACCAAACTTTACCTTAATTAACATCCCAATAACTTTAAGTTATAATTCCTAAAATTCACACTCCAACATTTTCAACCACCAAATGTCAATCTCATGTTAACAATCTAACTTTCCATTGCAGTCAATCTTTTCCACCATCTTACGTCCCATCCAACCCAAGTTTTTCCTCTTCTAGTTTTTATTTTTTCCCCTTAATCCATCCTACATTTTCCCTTGTGATAGTCCTTCTTTTTTAGGATAACACCTCTTAATCTGTCTAGAAAACTTGGGAGATCACTGACTAACTTAATATTTATAACAAATAACTTTCAATGATTTATATTTACTAATCACCTCCCAATGAAATACATTATTAAGATTCAGGTCAAAGATACACTTAATCAACTGGGATGAGACAAAAGCATCATGAAAAAGCAAATTTAGCTTTTGAAATGCTTACTGCAACTAGGACCAGTAACATTAAGCCAAGAATTATGAACATACATTATCAAACTGATGGTATCTGAGAATTTATATGCTCCTACCAACCATTTGCAATAATCTCACTTCATTACAAATTATAAAAATGATCTCTGAACAGTGAAAGCTAAACCACTTGTTACAAATATTTGCCTGAGATAATTCCAACATATTTGAAAGAGTCAGAGAGTTAAACCATGCAGTAACACATAGCTTTAAATGGCAGTCCAGACATTAAGGAAACATACAAAGTTCAACAGTTTGGACTGGTACAAATTTCAAATGCATAAAAGGTTATTTTGAGGATATTAAAATAATTTGAGGCCTATTTACTTTATGAATGTACTCACCTGACTCTTGCAAGTATCTATATACCAAGAAGTTGACCTCATCACTGCTTATACTCATCTTTATTCCCACTTAAACCATGAGGTCACAACACAGGATATAACCCTAAAAACAAAACAAAGTTAATTAAGTATTTTCTCAATAAAATATTTTTAAACAAAATGTAAACAGTGTTGTAAAAACCATTTGATTTTATTAAATATTGTAAAATGAAGGTTTGATATTGCCTAATAATAAATCCTAACAAAGTTATTTGCAATAGTTAGTAATAGATTATACAACCAAACCACAGCTGGGTCTCTGTTTTCTGCAACATATTGGTAAAAAGGATTAAAAATTTACAAAAGGGCCTCCAGTATCATATTTTAATAATCATATCAAATAGCATAAAAAGTTGTTCCTCTTTTCTCCTTAACTGTAAAAAAGAGTGTATTTTAAGGATCAGAAAATTATTTATATAGGAAAAGACTGACTTCAGACTATGGGATCAGGGGCCAGCCATCCATGCTGGTTTTGTTTACAAAATTTAGTAGGATTTGAAATCTCTATTTTCTCAACATCTAATCTGCAATGTTCAAGTTTCAAAAAGCTCTAGGTATGCATAAGGCAGAGAGGTTGGAGTACAGTTCTGAAAACTCAAATGATATCTTCAGAAGGAGGGAAAGAAGGAAACTGACATATAGCTTAAATATACCCTAATTATACATAGCTGTTCTCATGTCACAGAAAGAATTTAAAGAAAACTTTTCCGTACGGTGCCCAACAGTAAATATGTTAGGCTTTGCCAGCCATGTAGTCAGTGTCACAACTACTCATCTGCAGTTGCAGCGCAAGAGCAGCAACGACACACCAATGACTGACTGAGTGTGGCCATGTTCCAATGAAACAACTCATCAACACTAAAATTCGAATTTCATATGATACTCTTGTGTCATGAAATATTTTTCTATTGATTTCTTTTTCAGCACTCAAAAAATTAAAACCCTTTCTTAGTTTGTGGTCCTTATAAAAGGTCAGTGGGCTGGACATGGCCCACAGACCAGCTTCTCAGTTCCTTGTTTAAAAAAGGATACACTGACATCTATTCAGTCTTAAGAAAGAAAGAAAGTGAAGTCGCTCAGTCGTGTCCGACTCTTTGCGACCCCGTGGACTGTAGCCTACCAGGCTCCTCAGTCCATGGAATTTTCCAGGCAAGAGTACTCGAGTGGGGTGCCATTTCCTCCTCCAGGGAATCTTCCCGACCCAGGGATTGAACCCGGGTCTCCAGCATGGCAGGCAGATGCTTTACCGTCTGAGCCAGCAGGGCAGCCCATTCAGTATAAAGCGGTATCTAACCCAGGCCTGTGCTGACCGTCCTGCCACATCACGGATCTCTTAAAACGCAGGGTAAAAATATATTCAAACCTCTCAGATTAATAAGAACTGAGCAGGCTTCTAATCAACAGAACTGTTACTGCTCTAGATCTGGATCTGGAAAACCTGGTGACTGAACACTCATCAAGCTTATCTCAGAAACAAAGGAAGACCAACAAGGGGGTAGTACCAATTCCCCCAGTGAACACACACAGAGGAAGCCCTAACCAAATTCGGTGGTCTGGGAATACATCTGAGGAAGTGTCTTCAGTGGTCAGACATGAAGGACAGACAGGAGAGTGAGAGAATGAATATCTGGGGAGGAAGGCAAAGAACCGAAGCAATTCAGTGAGCAGTTAACAGTCACTGGAAGGGCTGGGTGAAGAAAAAGAAACAAAATGAAGTGAGGCTTGAGAGAAGCCTTGAAGGAATCACTTAAGAGAAAACAGGGAAGAAAAAGCAGAAAACGCAGGGAAGTGGTATGATTTACATTTTTAAAAGACCATCCTGAATTCTAACAAGAAAACTAGAAGGAAACTGGACCGAGGAGAGGGGGCCAAGTTAGGAAGGTGCTGGATTCACCTAAGAAGACTGAAACCCGGACGGAGGCTCTGGGCTTGAGGAGAACCCGAGAATCCTAGGATTCCAAAGATACTCAGGAAGTAGCAGACTCAAGGTGGGCGGCTTGACACAGAGCTGAGGAAAAGAGAAGGATCGGAGGTTTCTTTGAGGACATCTGGAAAGGCAGTACTTCATTCACTGAGACGAGAAACCATGGAAGAAAAGTGAATACCATCCTCATGTGAAGAAGAAGGCACCTCCTCCTATTTAATTTCAAACAGTACAATTATTCGCCTGAATGTGATATATATATATATATATATATATATATATACACACACACCATACTGAACAGAATGATACAGGTGAACACTCCTCTGATGACCGGCTCAGGACACCTCATCCAGATGCCCCTGTGGCATACAGGAGGATCTGAGCTCTGGAGGAGATCTTGCTCAACTCTACCCTGACCCACAGGAATGGGTAACAATGTGCTTGGCACACACAGTAGGTATAACACAAAGGTCAATTCTGAAAGCCTGGTGACTGAATGATTTGAAAAATAAAACCACCACACCCATTATATGATTACATAGAATACCCATTACATGGCAGGCATTAAGTCACAACTTGACCAACCATGGATATCTGTCAGGGAAACAGAGTCACTGCTTGAAGAAGAGGATCTCCCAAAATGAGTTCAGTCAGGTGGAATCCTAGGGAAGTAACTAATGAAGAAAATAAGAGTATTCTTTTCCTCTAAAGTATCATTCAGTCTAATATTCAAATAATGAATAACGGAACTGAAGTACCTAAGATGTACAAATTTTTTTAAATGCCTGATTCTGATACACAAAGGTCACCAAAATGTCTCAAATTAAAGCAGTTATCAGTAGTGTTTCTGTATCATCTAATGTATCTTGGGGCAAAGAAAAACACAAGTCAAAATGATATAAATTACTGTCTGTAGAAACTCTCATAATAAATACATGTTGGTAGCATACTTTTTTTAAAGTCAACAAGAAATACCAAACATGAAGAGCAGGAGAGTTCTTATCTGTTCAAATTGCTGTGAATGAGTTTATTATATTGATCATAGTACCGTAATAGTTTCTGTAACCAAAAGTAAATTTTTTAAGAGAAAGGGGTAAACTGTTCAAATTTTAAAAGGGTTACTCTAGCTTTAGTTCTACTTCAGCCAGCTCATACTTTCAGAGAGAAAGATCATTGTTTTCACTTATAACAAGCATACCCCTAGCATGGACAAAGCACTGTGCCAAGAGCTAAGGCAGGAGAAGGGGACGGCAGAGCATAGATGGCTGGATGGCATCACCGACTCAATGCACACATTTGAGCAAGCTCTGGGAGTTGGTGAAGGATGGGGAAGCCTGGAGGGCTGCAGTCCCTGGGGTCACAGCGTCAGACATGACTGAGCTACTGAACAACAAAGAGCTAGGAACAGACACATGAAATAAAGCTGCCCCAGCCTTGCAGAATTGACAGTTTTTCAGTTAAGAGAAACATACAAACAAACATGGCCTTAAAAAAAAAAACCATAGTAAAGTTAATACAACTTTGTATTAAAAGTTTCAGTCGTAGTAGCAATAAAACTACATAGGTTCCTTATTTAAAGACCTGAGTTTATCCTCTTATAAAGACACTCAATTCTAGAGTAAGGTTCAGTATGAAATTAGTCTGTTTAAATTCTAACATCAAAAGGACACCTGAAAAGAACAAGAAATATTAGACGTTAAAAACAAACAAGACAATGTTAAGACGTTTCCTGATTCAAAGCTTCAGTTTTCACTTTCAAACTACCTAAAAAACCTGGGTGCCAGAGAACAAAAATTAGAGAAAATGCCCCCATTTCAGTAGTGGACTCACTACAGCTTTACAGAACAGGTCCGTTTTGATTTGTTTGTTTACACATCTATGATGCAGTCTTCACCTGCCCCAACCGATCTTCAGAAGGCACACAAAAACCTTCCTGCCATACCTCTTTCACAGTGGTATCTTTCAGAACATCTATCTTTAAACAAGGTCACAAGATAACAGTAAGACACTCATCCAATCTACCCTGTACAAACAGATATGGGCCTCGAAATCACGTCTGGTAGAGGTTACCATGTATAAAAGAAGTTCTGCCCCAAGGAGCTGACAGAATATTAAACAAGACATCCAAAATAAGCACTTCCTAAAAATCACAAAACACCTATTTGTATATTCTGCCTGATCATACTTATTCAGCCCTAAAAAGTAAATGACCTAGTTATAAAAACATATATATATTAAATATCTCTGTACTTTCCTAACTCTCAGAAACAGCTTGTAAAATCATAAAAGCTTTTATTCAAACCTCCATCAGCTATGGGCAATGAAATTACTTAGTTCAAACCCACAGCTATATTAAAGCAGCCAGAGTAAAAATAAAAACTACAATCTTAACATTTAGCCAATGTTTATATGTAAAATTACACTAAATACGCTATTGTTTAGTATGAACTATTTTACTTCAAGATTTCACAGACAAAAATCTAGCAAGTATTACAAAAACAGGACTGTCGATGTAAGTCAGGTATAACTGCTTCAACCGAATATACATGGTATTTGCAGCATCATACAACTGAGTTCAGCATTCACACACTAGATAACAACTGCTCCAAATATTTAACCATCTCCTCATTTGTTCTTCCACACATCTGGTACCACATTTCTGCCTTTGGCCTCAAACAGAACAGACATCATATTCTTTTCTGATACCATATCTAGAGCATATCAGAGTCCAACTATGATCCTAAATCATACTATTTTAAATATATAAGATTGAAAAAATAACGACAGTTATGGAAAAAGGGGGAAAAAAAGCTTTTCTGAAACCTCATCCTTACAAATTATTTAGAGGTCTGAAAACTTCCTGCAGGCTCTAAATTCAAATGCACGATCAAAATGTCCTCATCTTAGAAAAATAATTTAGTCCAAAATGTAGTGGTGGGACTTTCTTGGAGGTCCAGTGGCTAAGACTCTGCACTCCCGATGCAAGGGATTGGTTTAATTCCTGGTTGGGGAACTAGATCACATATGACACAACTAAAGATCCCACAACAAAGATCGAGTGTCGCAGCCAAACAAGCAAATAAAAATAGATA